CAGCCACGTCCCCTAAGGCTATGGGCAAGGCTAGATCCTGAAGATTCCAGGAGGTTCCCAGGACCCCGTGTGGCTGCTGGAGGTGCCCACCCTTGGGCACCAGCCTGGTCTCCTGTGCTCTGACAGGCAAAGGAGCTCCCTGAGACAGACGCCACCTCCAGCCGGGTGTGGATCCTCACCAGCACCCTGACCACCAGCAAAGTGGTGATCATTGATGCCAACCAGCCGGGCACCGTCGTGGATCAGTTCACCGTCTGCAATGCCCACGTCCTGTGCATCTCCAGCATCCCCGGTGAGTGCTGCCCCACACCAGAGCCAGTGCTCAGGAGGCCGGGGTTCTCACTGCCCAGAGGACACCCAGGATGTCAAGTAAGGAGACTTGCGGAGCAGCACCTGCCTTCTGTGACATGTGCTGTGGACACACAGGAGCTGCTGGGGGAGTGGCCAAGGAGGGCCTTGCTGTGGTCTCGTCCTGCTTAGTCTTAAAGACGCAGGAGAAGATGCAGTGTGGTGTTCACCTGATTAGAAGTAGACGGGACAGCCTCAGCAGGGGACCCCCATTTCCTCCCTTGCACCCCTCGGGGACATGAGCTCTGGGCGTGGTCTTGCAGCGGCCAGCGACAGTGACTACCCTCCAGGGGAGATCTTCCTGGACAGCGACGTGAACCCTGAAGACTCTGGTGCAGACGGAGTGCTGGCCGGCATCACCCTGGTGGGCTGTGCCACCCGTTGCAACGTGCCACGGAGCAACTGCTCCTCCCGAGGGGACACCCCAGTGCTGGACAAGGGCCAGGGTGAGTCTTGGGTCTGAGCCCTGGAGCAGCCTTCTTTCTGCTCCCTCGTTCCTCCGCCTGCCCAGCCAAGCTTACCACTTGCTTCCACAGGGGAGGTGGCTACTGTCGCCAATGGGAAGGTCAACCCATCTCAGTCCACGGAGGAGGCCACAGAGGCCACAGAGGTCCCCGACTCTGGGCCCAGTGAGGCAGAGGCAGCTGCGGTGCGGCCTGGGCCCCTCACAGAACATGTCTTCACTGACCCGGCCCCTGCCCCACCCCCGAGTGCACAGCCCGGCAGGTGGGCTCTCCCAGGCGGGCAGAAACAGGGGAGGGAAAGGCTGGTGGAGGTGGCAGGGATGGGCCTCCATGGGCTGCCTTGGAGCCATCATCCTTCCTGCAGTGAAAATGGGCCAGAGGCCAACCTGAGTGGTGTGCAGCCCGAGCAGGAGCCCAGTGGAGACCCCAAGGGGGCCAGCAGCAGTGCCTTGCCCACCATGTGGCTGGGAGCCCAGAATGGCTGGTAGGTGGGGCTCTGGGGCCAGGGTGGGGGAGGGCCCCTGGGGCGAGCCCCTGCCTACACCGCCTCCCCCCACAGGCTGTACGTGCACTCGGCCGTGTCCAACTGGAAGACGTGTCTGCACTCCATCAAGCTGAAGGACTCGGTGTTGAGCCTGGTGTATGTGACCCCTAGCCAAGGGCTGGCATCGGGAGGGGGTCTTGGATGGCCCAGCCTGAGCCTGGCTCACCACCTTCCCCTCCAGGCATGTGAAAGGACGAGTGCTAGTGGCGCTGGCAGACGGGACTCTAGCCATCTTCCACCGAGGAGAAGGTGAGGCCTGGCAGCCGTGGGCAGGTGGGCGATACCTGATGGTCCCGGCAGCGTATGAACCGCCGCCCCCAATGTGGGACCTGGCCAGGCCCAAGCAGGTATGGTGGACTCTCTGCAGATGGCCAGTGGGACCTGAGCAACTATCACCTCATGGACCTGGGCCACCCACACCACTCCATTCGCTGCATGGCAGTCGTGTACGACCGAGTCTGGTGTGGCTACAAGAACAAGGTGCACGTCATCCAGCCCAAGACCATGCAGATAGAGGCAAGTGTCAGCGGCAGGGGCTGCAGGGAGGGACTGTACTCAGGGAAGTGACTTATTTGTCCAAGGTCACGGGCAGGCAGAAGGCAGCTGGGCTGTGAACACCAAACTGGAGCCCACCTGCTGCTTCACTCTGAAACAAGTCAGGTTGACTCCTGCATGGGATCCACGCACCTGTCCTCAGCCACCTGGATGCAGGCTCACGGTGTGGCGTGGTTGGCTGGGGCCCTCTTAGGAGCCTAGCCCTGTGGGAGCCAATCAAGCACTAGAGCAAAGGTTGCATTGAGCTGGGTGGACATCAGGATGAAGCCTTGGCTGTGGTGAGTTCAGCTCCCCTTCCTCTGCCATTGACGGGCTGCCATGACCTTGCAGAAATCATTTGACGCCCACCCACGGCGGGAGAGCCAGGTGAGGCAGCTGGCGTGGATCGGCGATGGGGTGTGGGTGTCCATCCGCTTGGATTCCACACTGCGGCTGTACCACGCTCACACCCACCAGCACCTGCAGGACGTGGACATCGAGCCCTATGTCAGCAAGATGCTGGGTGAGGCTGTGTTGGGCTGGGCCTAGTGGGGCAGAGAGGAGGCCCGGAGGCGGTGCTGACCCTGCCTCCTCCTCCCTCACCCCAGGCACGGGCAAGCTGGGCTTCTCTTTCGTGCGCATCACAGCCTTGCTCATTGCGGGAAACCGGCTCTGGGTGGGCACCGGCAATGGAGTCGTCATCTCCATCCCTCTGACCGAGAGTGAGTAACCCCAGACACCTGTTCAGGTAGTGATGGCAGCTGCTAAACCGCACGTAGTGGCACCCTAGGGCGGGCATGCTCTGCCAGGCCACACGGGACACTGGGCTGCGAGGTGGCCACAGCCACTCTCAGCCTGCCCCTCCTGTGACTGGTTCTTTCCTCTCCGCTCCATGCTGTGCCTCTCCCCTCTCCCAGCCGTGGTCCTGCACCGAGGACAACTCCTGGGGCTCCGAGGTAAGTCCAGAGGCCTGCCTCCTGCTCTCAGAAAGAAGCCCCTCTACCCCAGATGCCCTGGGGGCCCTGGTGCTCCCCTACCCTCTGCCCTCACCTGCTGGAGATCTCCCAGTCGCTGGGCTCGGCCCCTCCAGGCACTCTCTGTTTCCAGCCAACAAGACATCCCCTACGTCTGGGGAGGGTGCCCGCCCGGGGGGCGTCATCCACGTGTATGGCGACGACAGCACCGACAAATCAGCCAGCAGTTTCATTCCGTACTGCTCCATGGCCCAGGCCCAGCTCTGCTTCCACGGGCACCGGGATGCCGTCAAGTTCTTTGTTTCTGTGCCAGGTGAGTGGCTTGGCCCCACTCCCTGCCAGGCAGCACCTATGGCTTCTCTTCGGGAGCCTTCGTGGGTACTCTGGCACCCAACTAAGTTCCCTGTACTCCACGACAGGGAACGTGTTGGCCACTCTCAATGGCAGCGTGCTGGACAGCCCATCCGAAAGCCCTGGGCCCACCGCCCCCGCCTCAGAGGCCGAAGGCCAGAAGCTGAAGAACGTGCTGGTGCTGAGCGGGGGGGAGGGCTACATTGACTTCCGCATCGGTGAGTGGGTGCTGCCTTCAGGCCCCAGGGGCTCCCAGGGAGGGACTGCCCCTCACAGCCGTGTGCTCCCTCCAGGCGACGGAGAAGATGACGAGACGGAGGAGAGCATGGCAGACGTGAGCCAGGTGAAGCCCATGCTGTCCAAGGCCGAGCGCAGCCACATCATCGTGTGGCAGGTGTCCTACTCCCCTGAGTGAGGCACGGCCTGCACCGCCCCTGCCTGACATCACCCTGTACATACGCTACGCCCTGCTCACCTGCCACGACTGCCCCGTGGGGCAGCCCACCGGCCCCTCTCTAACCTCTCAACCTGCAGCTTTCACCTTAGGTCCGGCCTGGGAGCTGACAGGGGCAGCAAGCAGCAAAGCAGGTCTGGCTCAGGGTGGGGATGTGGGTGGGAGGGGCAGCTTCTGGGAATACCCTTTTCCCAGCAGTTCCTGGCCCGGGGTCCAGAATTCCAGAATAAGCAGCCCCCGGGTAGCTCTCAACTGCATCCTGGGCTCCCCATTCTCATTACTCACTCCTAGGACACCCAGGATAGGAAGCAGGGATTTCAGTCTGCCAAATACTCGGGGCCCACTTGCCTTTGCCTGCTGTCCATGAGGGTGGGGGTCTGACCCTAAGGGACCCAACCCAACCACTAGCCTGCCCTGGATTCCCCCCCAGCCCCATCCCTGCCAACCTAGGAACTGGCACGAAAGCATGCATCCAGGCTCCCTGGGGCAGCTGTTTGAGAAGACAGATGCCATCATCCTGCTCAAGCCCCCTGATTGTCCTGTGTGGCAGGCTCTCGTAGCCCTCATTGACCCATGTCCCCTCTCCCTGTCCCGGGCAAGCAAGCCCTGCAGTCCTGCCCTTCCTGGAATCCTCTAGGGTGGAATTTCTCAGTCTGTCAGGGCAGGCCTAGGCCTCAGCATAAAGGTGGGGCCACTGGGATGCAGGCTCAGCCTCAGGGTGATGGGGGAAGATACGGGATCCAGGGCCTGCCTCCCAAGCAGTCTCCAAGGAGCCCAGTTCCCAAGACATGCTAAAGTGCCTCGGGCTGGTGGTGTGGCCTTCTCCCTCAAGGGCAACTGACAAGCTGGCGGCAGAGGCCCTAAGGGCTAAGGACAGGGACCACCTCCCCAGCTCTAGGAGCATGTGTTCGCCTGCTTTGAGGGGTACTGCCCTGGACTGCTGCCTCTCCACCTGCCCAGGCCTTACTCCTGCTCCAAAAGGCACTGATGAGGGCAGCCCCGGGCCCTGCTGCCCACCCACCTCCCACCAGAGAAGCACAGATCTTGGGCAGCCATCCCACAGCCCAGCCAGACACTGCTGCAGTCACATGCAGCTGCAGGATTCTCCCCACTGCCCTGCCACTCTCCACTGTGATGTACGTCAGGTCCCTCGTCTGTTCCCACAGGGCCATGAATGACTGGGGGGTTATGCAGGTGGGTGCAGCTGGGGGAAGGGGCTGGGTGACTTTTCTCAGGCTTTGGCCCTGCAAGCAAACCTATGTATCTGCTCTGTATGTAATAAATGTCTTATCACGGTACCTCTGTGTCCCTGGACCCAAACCAATATCAGCTCCAGATTTTCTTCAATTTATTATAAAAAGAAACACTGGACCAAGCTGAGTGCCAGGGTCCCCATCCTGGTGCATTTCCAGGCATGCTGGGCTTGGGCAGATCCACCTCCCCTGTTGGAGATCCTAGAGGAGCACTGTGAACCCCAACCTATAGCAGCACGTCTATCCCAAGAGGCCCTGGGCGCCTGGGGTTGGGTCGTCTCTCGCCTGAGGAGGACCAGCCCCGCTGCCCCATTACTCATACAGCCAGTGCTCGGTGCTGTCCTCCCAGCAGAGGAGCTCGTTAGGGTGGAACCAGAGTGCGATCTCACGGCGGGCGCTCTCCACGGAGTCACTGCCATGAATCACGTTCCTGGGAGGGAAAAGCGCCAGTGAGCGCCCGAAGGACTTCCACGATGCCCAGCTGGGGTGGTCGGGCTGGGGTAAGAATGTCCCTGGGGGCCGGCCTTACTTGCCGACCTCGATACAGAAATCTCCGCGGACAGTGCCGGGCAGGGCGTTCGCTGGATCTGTGGCCCCGATTAGCGCCCGAGAGGTGCTCACAACGTCCAGCCCCTGCCACACCTATGGACAAGATCAGTGGAGAGGTGTCGGTGGAGCGGGGTCCAGGGCGCCGTCCAGCGCACCTCCCCGCCTCCTGCACTCACCATGGCCACTACCGGCCCCGAGCCCATGTACTTGACCAGGCGGTTGTAGAAGGGGCGCTCGCGCAGCTCGGCGTAGTGCTCTCGCAGCAGCTCCTCCGAGGCCTGGAGAGGGAGGGGGTCCGCTCCGAGGCACCGCCCTCCCCCGCACCCACCTGTCCCGCCCTGCACCCTCCTTCGAACCCCCGCCTCCGAGTTCACCTGCACCAGCTTCAGAGCCACCAGCTTGAAGCCCTTCCTCTCGAAGCGCCGCACAATCTCGCCTACGAGCCTCCGCTGCACGCCGTCGGGCTTCACGGCCAGGAAGGTGCGCTCATGCACACCGGAGTAGGCTGCGGGACGGTGAAGTGGCACGTCCGGCTGCAGCCCCTGCCCACACAGCTTAGTCCCAGTACCGGCCGCGCTGCTTACCCGCTGGGAAGAGGTTAGCGAAGATGGTCAGCACCAAACAGATCATGATGGCGGCAGCGGCTGGAGCTGAGCGCAGACTGGGCGGGGGAGGGGTGGAGGCGGGGCCTACGCTTAAAGGGGCCGCGGTCCGACCCCCCCCCCCGCCCCCTCGTGCCGGCCTTCGGGAGTGGATGCTGGGAGAACGCAGGCGAGATAGTGAACCCTGGCTATCCTCCACGCCCACCCCAGGACCCCAGAGGCTTCGGGGCCCAGAGGTTTCCGTGCAACGACCACATCTGTGCCACCCCCAATCCGCTCTCATCTCTCCATCCATCAGGCCAGATATACTACGATGTCAATTTTTTCTCTCCCCACACTCTTGCAGCCCATCAGCCACGGTCTCCCAACCCAAATTCGAAGAAACCACAAGCCGGGGCTGTTTCATTTGCCTTTATTCGCGTTCAAGCTTTGGTTCTGGTTGAGGCAACGCTTTGATAAGGAAGGGAAGCCAACCTGGAAGTGACAGGTGCCAGCCCTGGGGCTCCACAACCGCTAGCACAGCTTTCAGCTCTCCCCCAGCAGCTGCCTCCTGTGGGCCTCCCCGTTGGGCAACGGGGTCAGAGGAGAGACACAGGTGCAGGGTCTGGCGCCAACCTTTGTTCAGTGCAGTCTCAGAACAAGTCACGGAGGTCGGATAAAATAATCAGCACCCGGGGAACGGATTCAGGTGTAACCCAAGGATATTTTGTTTCATCAGAATGGTGCTCACTGCCTTACACTCTTCAGGCAGCCTGCCGGTCCTGGCATTTCAGACTGGAGTGCTCTTAGCCTTATTCTTTGCCTCTTGTTTCGCAGGGTAGTCCCAGGGATCAGTGCGTATTTTCCCCAGATTCAGCATGGGCTCCTCGGTGCTGTTGTCCCCATTTTTCTGTCGCTCTGCTAGAATCATGGCCCGGAGCAGTGGAGGGTAGGGCACAGAGGGCTGAGTGTCCTCTGGCCGGGGCGTGAAAGCGGTGAAGGCCTCCTCCTCGTGCCTGGGCACCAGCCGCCAGTCGTGGTACATGACCTGTTCGATCTCCCGGGGCTCGTCTTCCGTCTTTCCTGAGGAAAGAAGGACGGGGTTTATTGCACATACTCGTGGCACACTCTGTTGCCAACAGCCATCCCACCCATCTCGGACTCCTTACCTTTGAAGGTCAGGATGCCCCAGGCCTTACCGTGGTCCAAGTTCTGCAAAGCAAATAGGGAGGGGATAAGCTCACACAGCTTTCCTTCCCCCAGAGATCAGGACGCAGGAGAACCCGTCCCACAAAGCCGCAAGTAGAGTGAGCAGTGCAGCCCCGCGTTGCTCGGGAGTCGGGACGTAATGAGTGGCGCACGAACCTGCGCCGTGTAGTCCGGCCGGACACGCGTGAGGAGCCAGTAGCACGGTTGGTCATGCCGCCACAGCCAGGACTTGCGCGTGACTAGACGGCCCAGGCCAAAGGACGGGAGGCGGCCAAGCAGCTGCAGCAGGCGGCTCTCGCGCTGCACGTCGGCCCAGGCCCGCACCGGCAGCCGGCGGCCGGAGTGCGGCCGCGTCAGCGTCTCGTAGTCTAGGGAATAGCGCTGTGAGTCCCGCGGCCTGTCCCGCTGCTCGCGGAAGGCCCGCACCCTACGGGCCAGCTCCGCGATTAGCCGCGGCCGCACTTTCTTGCGCGCCATGGTCTGTCCGTGCGTCCGTGCTCCACCTGGAAGCCGTCAGCACTCTTTACCAGGCCCGCCCCCTGCCGGAAGTGGCTGGTGTTCATGGTGAAGGCGTCCGGGTGAGGCCGGAAGCGGAGGAGAGACTGGACAGGCCATGGCGAAGGTTGGGCCACTGAGGGCCCGGGGGTCCTATCGGGGCCGGGGACAACGGCGGCCCCCGACCTGGGAGATCTCGGACTCGGACACCGAGGGCGCCGCCAGCGCGGAAGCCGACTCGGAGGCCGCCACGAGGGCCCGGGACCCGGCGGAGGAGCGCAGAACGGCGGCCGAGGCGCTGCGGCTGCTGCGGCCAGAGCAGGCGCTGCGGCGACTTACGGTGCTCGTGGACCCAGGTGCGCCCAAGGGTGAGGGCAGGGGTCCTGTGAGGAGCTGAAGTTCTGCTGAACCTCGGGCTTTGGAATCTCCTGGGAGGTAGACCCCGGCCCACTGTGGGGTGAGAGGGGCATCTGTCAAGGCTGCCTCTTGGCCAGGAATTGGCTCCGGCTTTCCAACTGGGGAGCTTGATGAAAACACTCCAGGGTCTGGACCCGATTGCGCTCTTGGAGCTGGGGGAATCGGTGTGTTTGCAACACGCCGCCCAGGTCTGGGTCTGCCGTGAGTAGCATCCTCATGTGGAGAAAAAGGAGTGACAGTTGTCAATTCTTCCCACCCCAGCCATTCTGGAAGATGCAGGTGCTGACATCCTGATGGAGGCCTTGGGCTCTCTGGGCTGTGAGTACCACATCGAGCCCCAGCGCCCTTCCCGGAGCCTCAGGTGGAGCAGAGTGAAGCCAGAAACTTGCCTCAGAAGTGTGAGTGCACCAGCAGCCACGTTTCCTGGGTTTACATAGTGCGGTCCTGGGTCGGGTGTTTCACCTCTGTGATTTTGTATGAAGCAGCTGTTCTAATCATGCAAATAAGCTAAGAACAGGGAATGTGGAGTGGTTGATGCTCAAGCCACCCTGCTGGTCAGATGCTGGCCTGGGTCCAGGGTCTGAACGCAGCTGGTGGCTGAGGAATGGTCCACCCCCATTGACGCTGTGGTCAGTGCTCCTGCCAGCCCTACGGACCAGCCCTGGTCTTGGCCTCAGCAGGAAACCACATTGGCTTCTGTGGAGCAGACCTTGTGGGCATGGGCTTGCCTGTGGCCATGAGCCTTACAGCTGCTGTGGTGCCCAGCCCGAGGCCCTGGGGCACTTGAGGCTGAAGGTGGGCAGCAGTACCGCTGGATGTCTCCACAGGTGCCTGCTGAGCTGTTGGCTGCAGGTGAGCAGGAACTTCTGCTGCTGCTGGAGCCTGAGGAGTTTCTGCAGGGTGTCTTCCAGCTCACCCAGGTGCTTGGTGGGGGCTGGGTTCCCCGCCTGGCTGTGATGTTCTGCCAGTCCTTACCAAGGGCAGAGGGGCTGGAGAGGGCATGCAGGGGGCTGGGCCCCTCTCTCTTCAACAACCAAGATGTTGTGAATGAGATGCAGGGAGCCAGCTGGGCTCTTGGTCGGGGAGCAGACCAGAGCCGCAGCTGTTTTTTGAGGGCAGAAGAAGCAAGGATAAGGAGGACCCTCTGTAGAGCTGAGTCAGAAGCCAGAGGTGGGGGAACTGGTGAGATGGGGCCTGGAGATTTGGGCTGTGGGTTGGCTATGCAATCTAGCTGCGTGAGCCAACAGCCCAGCCCCCACGTGGCTGAAGGAGCAATAGGACTGCTCAGCTGATGTTTCCAACAGAGTGTCAATAGGTTAGACCCCCTTCTGGGTCCCAGCGTTTGAGGTTCAGCATTTATCAAGTACCTGCTGCTAGGCAAATGCCAAGCTGTGGTGCAGAGTAGGCCAGGAACAGGAAGAGGGACTGAGCTCAATTCTTTTTAGGAGTCTGGGGCACGCCCTGAAGAACAAGTGTGGTAAGTCTTCTTAACTTGCAGATCTGTGGCCCAACCTGCTCAGTGCCCTGGATCTCTCCTGAGAGCCCCACCTGCCCCCATCTGGCTGTCATTGGGCTGGACGCCTACCTGTGGTACTGGGCCACCCTCGTACCCTTAGCAGGCCTGGCTGGGGCGGGGAATTCAGGGAAAAGGTCAGGGTAGCTCTGCAGCTACTGTGACGTGGCTAAACCCCTCCTGTGGGTGGGCTCTGGGGGCAGCGGAACGCAAGATGCGTGGGACCGGTGGGGTACGGGGAGCTGGAGGGGATAATCATCTCTGTGCAGGTCTCGCCAGCCCAATGCCCAGGAGATGCGGCAGCCAGTCTCTCCAGGCACGGCCTGCGCCAAGGTGGTTGTTGGCTGGCCTGAGGTGGAGGAGGTGAGAAGTCAGGTTGGGTGAGGTGGTTGACCTTGGCCCTGGCACTCAGTCTGGTCTCTGAGGCCCAGCTCCTGGGTTTGGTTACAGGAAGACATGTAGGGTTGGTCTCAGCTGGGTGTCCCTCAGGGGAGCCCTCCTCTGACCCAACCCTGTGGGCGTGTCTTCCTCAGGCCCTGGTGCTGCTGCAGCTCTGGGCAAACCTGGACGTGCTGCTGGTGGCCTCTTGGCAGGAGCTGAGTCAGCACGTGTGCGCCTTCACCAAGGCTCTAGCCCAGCGCCCCTTCAAGTGCGTGACCCCTACCCCAGCTGCTAGCTGATACCAGGAGGGTGCCAGGAACACTTGGAGGGGTGGCCGATGGGGGACTGTGTGGTCAGGAGAGATGAAACCTCCCTGAACCCTCCCCACCCTCAGGCAACTCCAGGAGTCCAAGGCCTTTTCCTTCTGCACAGCTGGGCGCTGGGTGGCAGGCGAGCGAGTGACAAGAGATGGCACAGGGCTTCGGGGGGCCTGGTGGCGGCAGATCAGGCAGTTCAACCGGGTCAGCCCAGCAGTGGCTGATGCTGTTGTCACTGCCTTCCCATCACCCCGCCTTCTGCAGAAGGTGAGCCCTTTCCCAGCCCCACCCCCGTTCCCAGATGTGGAGGCCAGGTCCTTACGGCCTGCCCCGCTCATCCCTGTGCCTAACCTAGGCGTACCTGGCCTGCAGCACCGAGCAAGAGCGCCTTGCCCTCCTGGCTGATCTCCCTGTGAAGGTGGATGGAGGTGGTCGACTCCGAAGAGTGGGACCTGATCTTTCTCGCCGAATCTGCCTCTTCTTGACCTCCACCAACCCTGACCTCCTGCTGGATCTGAGCTCCTGACCGTGCCAGCCTGACCTACAGGGCCTTCTCTGCCACCAGCAGGACAACAGGCAGCCCAGCCAGGGAGGGACCAGACACAAGGGGTGAGAGGGGGAGAGCAGTCACCTAGCACAACCTGTCCCTTAGCCTGGGGAGGGGCTCCCCGTCAGGTCTGAACCCAAGGAGGGCACAGGTAGCAGGAAAGGTTCTAGAATAACCGGTGACTCGCCAGATGGTGGGCTGGAGAGGCTGGGGGCAGCGCCCTGCACTGGCTACAGGCCAGGTGGCCAATTGGGACAGTCAGGAGGGGCTGGGGAGCACCCACGTCCCAGCTGAGGGATGAGCACCAGTCACCTGGAGGCTTGGGGGTGGCGCCTTCAGAGAGGAGAGGTGGGACAGAGTTCTGGAGAAAGGAAACCGGGCTCCTCTCCCCAAAGCAGAACCAAACAGCACTACCAGAACCATGGAAGAAAAGCTGTGAGTACCTGTAAGCCCAGGTCTCTATAAGGATTCCTTTTAATTCTACCATTATGGAGGTGTCAGGCATAAACTTGTAAGTTTATTACAGTTGTTTCAGTCTTGGACAGGAGGAACAGTTGATGACATGCAAAACAAGTGAGGACAAATCCAAGGTTCCCTGAGGCTGGTGGCTACAAGAAAGCCGGCCTCAGACCAGGCCGTGGACCACACCTCCTGGGCCTGCACGCTCAGTCCAGGAGGGCTGGGGGGCCGACTCCTAAGAGACTCTAAGGAGGGAAGCCGTGGCTCCCACACCTGGCACGGGAAGCAGATGGACTCAAGACAGTCCTGGTATCAGGATCCCAGGGCCTATGGCCCCTGAGCCCCTGCGGCATGGCCTGTCTCAGCCTCTGATGGCAGAGTGAGCCCAGGCAGACCTAGGCTCAACTCCTCCCTCTCCTGTTACCCTGGAGCACAGCCCGAGGGAAAGGATGAAGAAAATGCCATCTCAGCCTCAGAAGGCAGTTTTCATTGGAAAATAAGTTAGGTCCTTCGGCAGCGCTTCCTCTGGTAGCGCCGGGTCTCTGGGTTGTTGGGACTGGCTGTGGCCTTGGGTGAAGACACAGGGGACTTGTGGTGGCCACAGCTCATGCTCAGGACCCAGCCCAGCTTGTGGTGTAGCACCTGCTTGAGGCCAGGTGGCAGGGGCAGGCCTTCAAGTGTGTCCCCAGAGTTGGGCCGCAGCTGGCGCAGGCGGTGGCAGCACAGGTACTGCAAGGAGGTGGCGCTGGCACAGGAGCGGATGACCTTCATGCTGCTCTTGGCCGCCGTGGAGCACACCATCGGATAGAACTTCCTGTTCTGCAGCTTGGTGGCTGCCACTCCTAGAGGAGGGAGCACAACCTGAAACCTGGGCCAGGAGGGGACTTGGCCACTCCTTGGACATCCTCTTGGGGTAACAGGTGGTGCTTGTGCTGGCCCACCTTCTGGAGACCTTGGGACCTTAGACTTCTTTCTTCGAGGACACCTTTTCGGGAGCCCTGAGGCCACTCAGCCTGGGTCCCGGTCTCTGCTTCCTGCAGCACCTCAGTGAGAGCAACCCCCACAGGCACGTGTCTCCCCTGGGACCCTGACCGCCCTTACCGATGCACTTCCTGTTCTTAAAGAAGGTCAGTGTCCCATGCCACGTGTCCAGGTGCACGCCGATGATGGAGCCCTGGCCGAACCGTGAGGAGAAGCTCGTCTTATCGCCCTTGTGGTGGAGGAGCCCTGGGGGACAGCAGAGGGTGGGGGTCAGCTCTGAGGCATGGGAGCTCTTCTCACCTGCCCCGCCGAAGGGACCCCAGGTACCTGTGTAGGAGAGGCCCCAGCTGTCCTCGTCCCTGCCGAGCAGGCTGCAGAACGTGTGGTGGTACTTGTCTAGGTCCACGTCTGACGTCCCAATGCCCACCATCTGGGGACCACAGGCTGGGCAGAGAGGACCCAGGGCAGGGGCAGCCAGCAACACCCCCCACCCTGCCACCAACTTACCATGTCAGTGCCATAGACGGGGGAAGTCATCTTGATCTCCCAGAAGTGCTGCCCCTCCCCCAGCTCCTTGGTGCCTCGAATGGCTGCTGTGCCACAGCTGTATTCCACATGGAAGTTGACCTTCCGGTTGTCACAACTCAGCAAGGTGGCCGAGGACTTATTCAGGTCATCCCAGACCCAATCAAAATCTGGGAGAGGAAAGGCCAGGCGGGGGTAGTCTCTGGAGCCCCTGCTGGGTCCTCCTTACCAGGCCCCAGAGGCCTGCCCCAGCCAGCCCAGGCGACCCCATGCCAGGCGCTTACACTCATCTTCCTCCCCACAGCGGCAGTCCCTGCCCCGGTGGGCTGCCGTGTACAGGCTGCTGCAGAAGGAGGCCTCACTCTGGTTATCGCAGTTGCAGAAGGACTCGCCTGTCACAGGCACAGCGCTGGGGATGGATGGCGGCAGGGACAAGTACTCAGGGTCAGAGTCAGAGTCACTGTGCTGAGAAAGGAAAGCAGGTTGTTCCCCCGCTGTGCCTTCTGCACCCACCTGCCACGCTGAGCACAGACCAACGGACGAACTGCTCTGGGGCCCCAAGGGAAGAATCTGGGAGTTTGGCCTCAAAGGGCTTCCCCAGGTCCCCAGTGCACAGCTGGCCCACTTCTACAGTGCCCTCAGAGTGACCCTCATCACCTCCTGCCTCAGGAACTGGGAGGGCCTCCTGCCGAAAGGCCTACACCAAGCCACTAGCTTCCTGAGAGTGGGCTTAAGGGCTCGACCCCATTCTTGCACATCCAAGTGGGCCTGGCGGCCCAGGCGCAGGTGAGCCACAGCAGGGCTTCCTGCCTGGCCATCCATCTCCAAGCAACTTTGACAGCATGGAATAGCTATGGACCCACCAAGGGTGGCCTGAAGGAGGGGAGCCTCTTGGCAAAGCCACTGGTGATCTACTGAAGGCAGCCTGGGCCTCCCCACGGGTGGAAGCCGGGCCCCACTGGGACTCCTAACTGGCAGTACCTACGCACATCCCAGGGCCGCAGCTCTTTCATCACCCTGCAAGGGTGATGACCCTTAGCCCCTACCCCAGGGCCCTAACGAGCCCAGGGGTTTCGTGCTGTTCCTTTTAAGCCTGTCACAGAAAAACATTCACTGGGTGCCTGACCCTCTCTACCTGGAGGGCCCCATCCTGGGCTTGATCCCAAGCCCAACTCATCAGGTTCTGGCGACTGCTGACCCACCGTCTCCTGGAGGCCAGTGAGAGATGCTCTGTGCAACTAGTCATTCCTGCTCTGAAGCCACACAGGCCCCTCTGACACTCGCCTTGGCTCTGGACCCCAGGCTGACCCCGATCTCTTTGCCCAGGGCCCAGAGGGTACAGACAGCTTCTGCCTGCCTGCTCTGCCAGCCCTCTCAGGTTGGCCTGGGGGTCCTGGTCTGGCTCCTGCCTCCACACTAGTCTCTGGTAGTTCCTCTTGCCTCCTTGAAATACCCTCTACATATCAGCCCGGGTGACCTCACTCAGACCTAGGGCAGATCACACCACCCTGAGAATATGCCACACTCTCCATCAAAGCTCACCAGGCCCATTCCCTTGCCCTGATCCCCCACTTTCCTCCACATGTCACATGGGAGGTCTCTTTGCCCTGGGATGGCAGCTCTTCACACACCACTTCACCAATGCTCTTCTAGCCCTGCCTCCTGGGTCCCCTCCCTTCTCATCTCTCCTCCGACAGTCTCCTTCGTCCTGTTGGTCTACCTCCTCCCACCAAAACTGAAACTCTGCAGGGGAAGAGCTTTGTCCTTCTTACTTTCCTATTATACCCAGGGCCCACACAGAAACCTGTGAATCAACCAGAGACTGAACTAAGGGGGTTGAACCCAAGTCAGCCAGAGCGAGCCCAGAAAGGAGACTGGAATCAAGCCCAAATCAGCCCACTAGCACGAAATGGTGATTCCCCCAAAGCCAAGGCAGCGCACCGTCAGACACAAGCCCCTTCCCAGAGTCAGGAGCCTGGGTGCAGACCTGAGTACTGCAGGCCTGGAGGTCAGCCTGGGTGGATGACGACAGTCCCAGGGCAAGCCATAAGGGCACAGGAAAGGGAGACATCTGTGTTCAGCCTTCAAAGATGCCAAGGTGACACACCCGCCTGTCATCCCACACACCCAAGTACTCCAGACCAATTAGGTGACGCGGCAGGCTGCACGCAGGCATGTGTCAAACACAGTACCCCAGCCCCACAACACTGCCCACATCCCAGAGTGATGAGCCAGCGAGGCAGGGACAGACACAAGAACACAGACTGCTTCGGGCCGCATGGTCAGGACAGGAATGCAGGCAGCGTCTCTAGCTGGCCTGGACAGGGATTTTGGGGAGGCCCAAGAATGCTATCAACCCTGAATAGTTGCCTCCAAGTCTTCTTCAAGGCCTAGCAGTTCCACGGGGCTCAGCCCTCACTCTAGGGAAGAGAGGTGCCCACCCCCCACCCCGAACGCCTGGCTGAGCCAGGGCAACATGCAGAGCGGGCGTGACAAAGCACAGACAAGTCACCCGAAGATCAGCCTTGCAGGAAACAGCGGAGGTGACTCAAGGCAGAGCCAACCCCCTGCTCTGATTCAAGATTCTGGAAGGTGATTGAGATTCCACCTCCCAGTCACCTGGCAACGGGTGCAAAAGCCACGCAGCCCAGCCATTCGCAGGGTGGGTGCAGTCAGCCTCCAGCTGCAGAGCCTTGGGTACATCAGGCAGTCTGCACTGAGACAAGCGGATGAGCTGCTGTTCCAACCTGAACTTGGGGGTGACTGAGTGGGGGAAAGCATAGTAGTTGTAGTTTTCAAGACAATGTCTTTTTTACATGCATACACACAAACATAGACCATGTATTTGTACAGACAGAGGAACTGTCCAGGAGGCTAACATGGAGTTAACAACGGCGATCTTTGGAAATGGGTTGAGAAATGGAATGGAAATGTTCTGTTGAATGAACTGACCAAAAAACCAACTGCCGCCCTCTTCAGTGCAAAGAGTACAAAGAGGAATATGGTATCTGTCTGGAGGTCCTGTCACCTCAGGGCTGGGTAGGTCCTTAACCAGGGCAAACCCAGGATGAGCAGTAGGGTCCTACTGCACTACGGAAAAGCCTGCCTCAGGGGTCTCCTCACTTTATTCCAGTAGTACCCACTCACCTGCCCATCGGAGTCGTAGCTTCGGTTAGCGGTCCCTGCCAGAGCCATGGCCCGGGCATCTGCGTCGCGGTGGGCTGCACTAAGGACAAAGTGCCATGCTCTGCCGCTCCGGGAGCGCCTGGCCATGGTGGACAGGATCTGGGGGCGGGGGGCGCAGGTTTTGAGCAAAGAAAATACCTGGCACACTGAAAGGTCTCCCAACAACCCCAGCATTTGTCCCTTGGCCAGCTGTGCCAGACCCCCCCCCCCAAAAGGTGGAGGATTTCTTGAGCCAAGTAGGTACCAAGCTGGGGCTCCAGAACTCTCCGCACAAGTTCCTACCTTACTCCAGTGTCCAAGCACCTTGATGAGACCTAGGTACAGAGTGTGAAAAGCCACCTGGACATCCACGACTCTCAAATACATATCTCGGCCCAGCTCTGAGCTCAGCCTCTGGAGCCCAGATGGGCAGCCTGTATAGCCCTCAGGCATCTCAAATCTCACCTGGCTCCTCCCCCACTGTACAGTTTGACAAATGGCATCTCCAACCTCCAAGTTCCTCATGCCAGGCTCATAGCCATCACCACCCCCCTGCCCCACCTACCTGCCTTCTTCCTTCCCACCATGGCCTGAGGGCCCCCACACACCCCACACCACCTCCACAGGGTCAGTCTCACTCCACCCACTTCACTCCCTATAGTCAAGATGTTTTTGAAACAAGTCTTGAACATTTAAGTAAATCTTAACAAATCTTCAAACTTCTCAGGGCTTATCACTGTTCTTAGAATAAAAGGCAAAATCCCCCCAAGCCTATCAAGTTCTCCTGGGCTTCTCCAATCTCAGTGGCCTTGTTCTAATTGCTACCTCTTCCCTGCCCTTGGCCGAGAAAGCCTTCCCCTGCCCTCTTTGGCTCTCAGCTTCCGCATCCGACTCAGTAACACTTCGACTTCCGTGATTATCTACTTCCTTGCTCTTTCCTGAACTGAACCCCCCTGTAGGACAGGGGCTGTCCCCCCGTGAGGACCCCGCCAGACACAGGCCAGCGCTGTTGGTCAATGAGCGTAGGCACTGCTTTCCAGGATTGGAAGCGCAGTCTACAGAACCAGATTCCCCTCCCTCCAGCAACGGCGCTGCACGGCTCCTTCACCTGCGTGTCGGAGCCCGTCCATCAGCCGGCTCCAGTCGGCCGGCCTAGTCACCATCTGCTGCGTCTGCAGCGCCCAGTAGGCGCCACGCGATACACGCGGAGTGACCAGCGTACGAGACTGTCTCCGGCCTGGAAGCAGGAGGACTCCTACTAATTCCAGTTTCAGGCGGCGTTGCGGCTCCTCCCCGCGCTGCGCGGCGGGCCTACCGTGTGGGCCAGCCCGCTCCGCCAGCCCCGCCCCAGCGCCGGCCGCGAGAACAAATGCGCGGCTGCGCTCCGCCGCCCGGGGTCCCGCAGGGCCCCGGTCCTCCCCGGCGGGCGGGCGGGGAGGCGCAGACGCGACCGGGTCTCACCTGCACTGCTCCGCTGTCGCTGACGGCCGTGACCCACTTTCCGCTCCCGAGCGAGACGTAAACAATCCCCGCCCCCCGCATCGCATTGGCCAAACAGCCGCAGGCGGGCGCTGCGGGCCCTGGGCTCTGGCCAGCCGCGCGGCCCGCGCCTCTTGCCAGAAGGCTGCTGAACCTGTCAATCTTGACTCCGTATCTTCATTGGTTACATCTCAAGCTGTCTGGGACAACACCCGCCCACCCATGGGACTAAGGGCGAGGCGGGGATGCTGCCCCACACTCAAGGATTGACGAGGCAGTGGGTTCACCTCCGGTACGGCGTCCGCGCCGGAACTGCGTACAGCCTTTGTGCAATTTGATTGGCTAGGGCCTAGCAACAAAGGGGACGGCCTCGAGCTGCCCATTGGCCGGATGGGTCTTTCGTCTGGCTGGAGGCGGGTAGAGAGAGAGAGAAAGAGGGAGAGAGAGGGAGAGAGAAGAAGCCGACGACCGTATTGCAACCTGCAACGGGGATGGAGGCGTCGGCGGGTGAGTGTGCGGTCACTGGAGATGGTAGGAAGAAGTCGTCCCGCTTCTGCTAGTCAGGACTCTGGGTGTGTAGCGAATTGTCCTATTTGCAGTGAAAAGGGTGTGTAGCGAATTGTCTTATTTGCAGTGAAAAGGAGGCGCACGTGTACTTACGCGTGTATGGTCATCAGGTTACAAGTTTTCGTGTAACCACAACGTTGCTCGGGAACGTAGATACAGGGGAACTCAGGAAGAGCACGTATGCTGTTTGTTGTTAAAAACACAATATTTTCCCGAATTTATGCTATGGTTTTTTGATTTGGTGATACCGCAAGAAAACAGGAAGTCGTTTAAATACAAGGTTCTAAAAAGACACCAGAACGTCACATACTTTTAAATTATTTTTGGAAGTTTTAGTCTAGTTTTATAAACCTTAATACTTGAAAAAGTGAAAGTTGTGTTGGACGGAATACAAGTGGGTATAATCAGATTTGCAAGATTAACTAAAATAGACTTTTATAATTAGGGGTTTGCCACATTATTTTTTGAAATACCTCTAGTCTGGTACTTGGGGTTACTAAGCTCTTATATGGCGGATTCATATGTCAGATTATAAACATAGCACTGGAGGAAAAACATCTGAAACGCATTTTTAGAATAAGGGCAGACTTGCTAAAAGGAAAGAATATCTTCTAGATTGATTAGTTTTATTAAAAAGAGCTAGCTGCTATTTTAACTAGGGGAAGATGCACATAAAGATAAAAAGGCTTAACCAGGTATACAGGAAAAAAAAAAAGCTTGATCTCTCTGTGCCCAGAAGGATTCTCCAGGGTCAGTTACTTGTATCTTTCTAGAAAGATTTCTTACACACAAAAAGTTACAAACTTGTCCAGTGTATCAAATAATCATGTTTGGTTGGACTTGACATTGGTTAGACTTACCGCTGAGTCTGAGCAGGACACGTTTCTGTCAAGGGGGCTCCTCACTTCTTCCGAGGGGAGAAACCGCCTCCAGTACAACCTCTCAACTGCAGTAGGTACTTGGTAGTAACCATAGAACCCTTACAAGTTAAGGGTTCTGTGGTTAACCCCTAAGGATTGTTGTCTGAGAAGTCCTCCCTGATACCAGATGAGAGCATGAGTGTCCTGGTTGATTCTCAGCTGAAACATCCCACTCCCACCAGGAGGGTAGTGCATGCTGGTGATTAGAGGCTGGCGGAACTGACCAGATGAGGACCCACCTCTGGCTTTTGTTTCCACCTGAGCCCTGCCCTCCACCTGAACAAAAGCGAAGTTCATTCCCAAATACCTTTTGATGTTAAAGCAATTAAGCTTATTTTAAAAATTTATTTATTTATTTATTTTTAGAGGGGGGAAGGGAAGGAGAAAAAGAGGAAGAGAACATCAGTGTGTGGTTGCCTCTCACATGGCCCCCACTAGGGACCTGGCCTGCAACCCAGGCATATGCCCTGACTGGGAATCGAACCGGCAACCCTTTGGTTCACAGCCTACGCTCAATCCACTGAGCCACACCAGCCAGGGCGGCAATTAAGCTTTTAAATTGCCACGGGGGTAACCTCAAGCCATGGTCTGGGGCTTCCTGTTTGCAGGCAGTAATCCTGGTCGGGGTTGTGTCCTTTCCTTGTCGTCACCTTACAAGATGTCCCAGCCCCAGGTGCTGGAAGTATCTAGGAAGAGCATTGGTGACAAGGAACTGCCACCAAAAGCCAGGGTAGGCACTCTCTGAGTTCTTGCTAGGGAGGCTTTGGAGGTGCGGGCCTTTGAGCAGACCTTTGACAGGTGGTGGGTCAGGAGGAAGACTGTGTTTTTGGATTGATGGTTGAGCCCTGTCCACGTGTGGGGAGGGTGGTGGGGAAAGCAGCTGGTTAGAGGCATGGCGAAGTCCTGAGGCCACTGAGACCAGGACAAGGGGGTATTGCAGAGGGGCTAAGGGTTGTATGAATGCAGATGGTAATGCCTGCCTGCTGCAGGGATTGAGTTGGTGAATTATTTATTTGGTGACATTAGGGGCTCATTGGTAGGAAGAGAGCCGGGGTCTACAGAGTTGTGAGGCCCAGGACCTATGGGAGTTATCAAAGGAGGCAGGGACACCCTGTGGCTGCCCTTGTGTACCTAGTGTTTCTTAAGGCATGGCTGGTAGCCAGGTGACACTGGCATTCACACGCACACATGATTGGTCCCCAAAGCTGTAAGGGTCCCTCCTGAGAACTGCAGTCCAAGGCCTCCTTGAGCGCCTTGGATCCCAGATGAGTGGGTGGGGCACATTAGTCTCCAGCTGTTACCATTGGCTCAGCCAGGAGCCTGCAGTCTTTGCCTCACTGCAGTGCGAGAACTAGAAAGAGGAGCAATTGGGGGCATTTCAGACAAGAGGGGGAGCAGCAGCACTAGAGGAGCCTGTGGGGAGGGTCTAGGCCTGCAGGGAGATGTTCCAGCGAAGGAAGGGGCAGGTCTCAGGTCTTTGCCCTGGTCTGAGGACTCAAGACACAGGAAGAGGTACGCGGTTACCTGGTGAGCGAGCCGTGAAGAGCATCTGTGTGAAGGATCTCCTCTCTTATCCTCCTGAGCAGAGTCTGGAAACTTGGCTGGCGTCCGGCACATCATCCTAATCCTCTCTGGAAAGGGGGGGGTCGGGAAAAGCACCATCTCCACGGAGCTGGCCCTGGCCCTGCGTCACATGGGCAAAAAGGTGAGCACCTCCTATCCTTAACCATAGTACCTGTCCCCTCCTGAACCAGTCCTGCCCCCTTCCCCTTGTGGGTGAACATACAGGGAAGCCAGCCGGTTTCTTCCTACCTTGGGAGACCCCAACACACCACGCGGACATCCTGGCTCCTTGCAGGTGGGGATCCTCGACGTGGACCTGTGTGGCCCCAGCATCCCCCGAATGCTCCGGGTGCAGGGCAGGGCCGTGCACCAGTGTGATGGTGGCTGGGTGCCTGTCTTTGTGGACCAGGAGCAGAGTGTCTCCCTCATGTCCGTGGGCTTCCTGCTGGAGAAGCCAGATGAGGCTGTGGTGTGGAGAGGCCCCAAGAAGAATGGTAACGTCCAGGCAGGGGACCGCGCTGTCAGCCTTCCGGCCTCCCTCAGCTGATCCCTTGATGCTCAATTAAAAAGCCAAGCAAGAGCCCGGGGCTGCTGGCCCTCCCTGCCACATGGGCCTCCCGCTGCTCACTTGACCAGTCAGGCCCAGGTGTGGTATTCGTGTCCACATGGCGGGTATGGGCCAGGAGGGCAAGGTAGCTGTGTGGCCATTCTCAATAGAGTCCCCTCCCCCTGGGCAGCAAGGGTGGGTCTGCTAAGACCCGAGCCCAACCTGTGTGTGTTGGGTCCCAGGGGATAACAAGGTTGGACTCCTGTGCCTCAGCGCCAGCAGGGTGCGCTAACCCCCTCCAACTGGCACTGAGGCACAGGGCAGGGGCTATGAAAATTGAGGGGTCTACACAGGCGTCCCAAGAGGGTCACAGCTCCAGCTGGCCTTTACTGAGGCCCGAGCAGAAGTCCTGTGGGGTGGGGTGGCCCCTGCTGGGAAGAAGGGGGTGGTTGCTGGGGGCAGGAACGGGAGTGCCTTGCTGCTGCACTGTGCTCCCCTGCTCTGGGTGAGGCGGCTCTGCACTGGAGGCCGGGTGGAGACAGTGGGCGCAGAGAGACCCTTTTGAGACCACTGTCCTGCCTGGGACTTTGCAGCTCTGATAAAGCAGTTTGTATCTGACGTGGCCTGGGGGCAGTTGGACTACCTGGTTGTGGACACGCCTCCAGGGACCTCTGATGAGCACATGGCTGCCTTGGACGCCCTTCGCCCCTATAGCCCTCTGGGGGCTGTCGTGGTCACTACACCTCAGGTACTGCAGAGTGTCATCCGTTTTCTGAGTGCTGGCTCTCCCTGCGCTTTACGCTCGTCTGGGTGACTGTTAAGGATTCCCATTGGCCCGTCCCTGCTCTTCCTGGTTGCTAGGCTGTGTCTGTGGGGGACGTGCGGCGGGAACTGACATTCTGTAGGAAGACAGGGTTGCGGGTGATTGGCATTGTAGAGAACATGAGCGGCTTCGTCTGCCCACACTGCACGGTAAGTCACGGAAGGTTGTGGGGCAGTTACCTGCGGGCATGGGGGATGAGGCGGGAGGCGGGGGAGAAGAGGATGCCACACCACACCTCCCCAACCTGCTCCCCGGGCCTGGACCCCACTCCCCAAGTGCGAAGAATCCTCAGGTGGACCCTGCACATCTGTCTTAGGAGTGCACCAACGTCTTCTCCAGGGGAGGCGGTGAGGAGCTGGCCAAACACGCTGGAGTCCCTTTCCTAGGTGAGAGGGTCAGGGCTGCCCCTTGGCCTCTGCTCTAGGTGGTCCCACCTGCCTGCGCCTCTTGCCCAAGAAGGGGAAGGATAACAGCAGCTGTGTCCACTCGTCTTCCTCGGGTTGTGGGGATCAGTTCATCTCTAATGCCAGTCACTGCCAACCGACTGGAAAGAAATAGCCTGAGGGGAAGGCAGCGCCCCCAGACTCTTGAGCGGCAGCGGCTGATGCCTACCGGGACCCCATTCAGAGCAGGAGAATGGCCCCGGCTCTGGCTCTGGGAGCACCTCTGTGTGCGCGGCCACATGTTCCCAGTGTTCGTCTTGTATTTTCTACAAGCGGGCAGAGTCCGAGGCAGCAGAACTGGGCCTGCTGGGTGGGCTGGTGGTTGTCCAGGTGGAAATTGAGCCCAAGACCCTTTCCAGGCACGCAGCCAGCGTGAGGCTGACAGGTGTCTGCTCTGGGTTAAAGCAGCACTGACAGCAGCTCCTGGGCCATGGGAGGTATATGGACATGGCCTCCCAGGCCTCGCTGTCACCACCTCACCCCTTCCCTGGCCCCCTCCCCCCTGTCTTCACAGGCTCTGTGCCTTTGGACCCCGAGCTCACGAGATGCCTGGAGGAGGGCCGAGACTTCATGCAGGAGTTCCCCCAGAGCCCTGCCTTTCACGCCCTTTCCGCCATAGCCCAGAAGATTTTGAAGGAGACACCTGCTCAGCTGTCCTGACTGAGATACCTTCTGGTGCCACTGTGGGGCTCAAGCTCACAAACTCCAGCCTGGGTCCTGGGTGTGCTTCTTGGAGCCTGCCAGGCTGGCCCGAGAGGCTGGCCCTGTGCGCACCTCCCTGCCCGGGCCCTTTGGAGAGTTCAGCACTTCAGCAGCAGCTGGGCACCAGAGCTGCTGACAGTGAGTGGTCCTGCTGAGTTGGTCTATGGCAGGCCCCAGGGGACAGCATGAGGTCCTAGTGCCACCACCTAAGCTCTGGTACCTGCACACTCTCTCTTCATGTCGTGGTTCTCACATGCCCCAGACAGGCCATACCTGATACCCGTCTCCACGCTGTCCACAAAGCTTGTGGGTCTGGAGGCCAGCCGGAACTTTGTCACCATCAGATGCTGTCCTGCCAGTGGGGCTGTGAGCGGCCGTGATGGTGGGTGCGGAAGGGAGCAGCAACCTGTAAGGTGTTAGCTTCAAAGGGGCCCGCAATTAAATGTGTCCTGCCACCACGGTTACAGGTCTGATGTTTCCAGGTCATTCCACCTCAGTCTTCCCTCTGCCTTAGTGTATGGCCGTGCCCTAGAGCAGATAGGGTGCACCCTGAGTCCCGGGGCTGGACCAGCAACTCAGTTGTCAGCAGACCCCTGCAGACTAGGGTGAGGGTGTGTTTGAATGGAGTTTGCAGAGGAACCTGTGATGGCAGAGAAATGTGTGCGCGGGGGCCTCGGCCAGCTGGTAGTGCCGACTGCTGCCCGCCCTCCACACTGCAGGGACCTGGGGCAGAGCTTAGAGCAAAAGAGGTGAGTGTGCAACACAGTCAGGCCCAGGGCTCTTATGCCTCTTTCCCAGGAGGGCAGGAGAGGAGACCGCTCTGGAAAGCAGAGGCCATGGCAGTGATGCCACTCTTTCCAAGGGAAGAAGAGCTGTCGCCAGAGAAGATGTAGCTCTGGGGTAAGGGTGGCAGGGGGGTCTGGGGAGGCACCTCAGGTACCACTTCCTGGGGGGTGTTGGGGCACTGAGGGAGGGAACTGTCAGGGAAAGAAAGTAGGGGGAGAAAGAAGTGCCATTAAGGGCTTGGGCCAGGAGTAGGGGTCTAGACAGAGGACTGGCACCCACTCTGGCCCTGGGTGACATTAACTGCTGGGCCTCTTGGAGCAGAGGCTGCCTCTGCCGTGCTCTGGCTTCCTGGTGCTAGGCCGCCTCCAAGAACACCACCTGAAGAGAACCTGAGTGAGCGTCCTCTGCTCCTCAGGGGGAGGCAGGCATCCTGGGGGGCCCAGCGTGGGAGGACGTGAAGGGAGTCCAAGCTCAGGGAGGGGAGAAGAAGGGGGCGCGAGCTGAGCTGGCAGCAGGAGGGGGTTCCACAGGTGCGCTGGCTGACACTCCCCTCCCCCACTTTCACCCCTCTGGTCACAGGCAGGGTTTGTAACATTGCTTTTAATGGATGACAGCTGGGGAGGGTTGAGCCCCCAACCCTCCTGATCTGGCCCCTCAGGGACCAGGTCAGCACCCACATGTCCCGAGCCCATGCCAGCGAAACCCCTGGGCCTGTGTGTTCCCTGAGGAAGAGACCCCCATCAGGAGAGCCTGGCCCCTGGGAGTTGAGGGGTGGAGCAACCACCAGGCTCTGGGAACGGCGAGGACTCATTCTGGCTCCACGGCGGCGTCTGGCCTGGACAAGACTTGGGTCAGCAGTAAGCAAAGTGGTCCTCGCCAACGTCACGTAGGTCAAGTCCGGAGAGGCCGGGCGGGCTGGCACAGGTGATGTTGTTGTAGGTGTACACAGGTGACTGGCAGTCGTCCCCCTCTAGGACAGCCTGGACAAAGCGTGGCACGATGGTGGGGTGCTGCAGGGCAAAGGCCCTCAGGGCCCGGAGGGTGCAGCCACAATGCCAGGGGTTGCCCTCCAGCCACAGGCGCTCCAGGCCAGGGGCCTGTGGCACAAAGGTCTGCAGGGAGTTGTTTCTGAGGCTGAGGTAGCGCAGCCGCCCTAGTGGTGAAAGGATGCTCTCCGGCAGGGCCTCCAGGTGGTTGTACGAGATGTCCAGCCAGAAGGTGCGCTGCAGGGGCCTCAGGACCTCTGCGGACAGTGCCGACAGCCGGTTGTGGGACAGAAGCAGGTACTCCAGCTTGCCAAGGCCCTGGAAGAGCTGACTGGGCAGCTGCGTGAGCTGGTTGGAAGTGAGGTCAAGTTCCAGGAGCTCGGGGAGCTCCCACAGGCTCTGCTCCTCGATGGCTGTGATGCCATTGTCCTTGAGGAAGAGCCGGCGCAGCCCCGAGAGGCCGGTGAAGGTGTGCTGGCGGATGTGGCCCAGGCAGCTGCCTTCCAGGTGCAGGCTGTGCAGCTTGGCCAGGCCCTGGAACACTCTCACTGGAAGGTTCCGCAGACAGTTGCCAGAGAGGTTCATGACAGCCACGTTCAAGAGGCCTAGAAAGGCACCTGCCTTGACTTCCTGGATCTGGTTGTCGTTGAGTGTGAGCACCTCCAGCTGGCCCAAGCCCTCGAAGGCCTTGTCTGGCAGCTGCCGGAGGCGGTTGTGGCCCAGCCGCAGCTCCTCCAGGAAATGCAGGTCCTTGAAGGTCCGAGGCCGCAGGCTGGTGATGGCGTTGTGTGACAGGCGCAGGACGTGCAGGCCCAGCAGGCCTGGGAAGGTGTCCTCCAGGAGGCCGCCCACACGGTTGTGTGACAGGTCCAGCCAGCGCAGTGCTTTCAGGCCCAGAAAGGCGCCTGGGGCCACGGCGGTAATGAGGTTGTGGTCCAGGTAGAGCTTCTGGAGCTTGGGCAGCTTGACAAAGATGTTGGCCTTGATGCTTCGCAAAATATTCCTACTCAAGTCCAGCTCCCGGAGCTCGCTGAGGCCGCAGAAGAGGGGGAGCTGCAGGTAAGTCAGCTTGTTGCCTGCGAGTACCAGCTCACGCAGGTTGGCCAGGCCCTCGAACACGGTGTCAGGAAGCACGGCCAGGCCGTTCCAGCCAAGATTGAGGTCCCAGAGGTTGGCTAGGCCTTGGAAGAGGCCATCATCCACCCTGCTGAGGAGGTTGTTGTTGAGGCCCAGTGAGGCGAGACTCGGTGTGTGCAGGAAGGTGCCGGCTTCGAGGCTGCGCAGCTGGTTCCGCTCCAGGTGCAAGTGGTACAGGTTCTGTAGGCCCAGCAGCGCCTTTGACTCCAGGCTGGCCAGCCCACTGCCCTGCAGATTGAGGAAGCCCAGGCCAGAGAAGTTCTGGAAGGCTGCCTCGGCGATGGAGGAGAAGTTATTGCCATCCAGCCACAGGGCCCTGGTGCCATCTGGGATGCCGTCAGGCAGCTCTGTAAGGTTCCGGGAGCTGCAGAAGACGCTGAGCTCATCCGTGTAGTCATCGTGGCCGCAGGTGCAAACAGCTGGGCACTGCAGGCCCTCGGTGTCCCCTGGCACTCCTTGCTCCACTCCCTCCAGGCCACAGGGGCCTAGTGCTGCCCAGGAGACCAGCAACACCACCAGGGCCAGGCCTCCTGCAGGGAGAGGAGCTTGGGGAGAGGCGGCACTGAGGGGCTCAGGATGTGAACCCCAGGGCGAGTGAGGCATAGAAACTTACGGGCCGTAGCCTGTACGTGTGGGCCACCATTTAACCTAACACCCAGACCCCAGCAAGGCACTGTAAAGGGGGCACTGCTGATGGGACGAGAGAAAAGTATGAGTGAGGAATGTGGTTACCCCACTTAAATCAGAAGCAGAAGGCGGGCAGGTCAGTTGGGATGTTCTCTGCTCAAAACCATTGCAGGGTTAACAGGGCAGTGACAACTGTCCCAGAATAAACTGAGGACTGGCCACCTGGCAATTAGGCCATGTGCCCATTTGTGTCCCCAAGTGGGGCACTCAAGCCAGGCCAGGCTGCCATCTGGGCCCGGAGGAAGGCATGAGCAAGAGAATATTCTGGAGCCAGCCTGGGTGGGTATGCACTTGTTTCCTTTGGGGGCTGGACAGACACGTTCAGCCTGCACCCTGGTACTTGGCCCAGCACCATTGCAGGGAGAGGAACAGGGTGCAGGCCTTGGTGGCAGACAGAGACCCAGGACTTGACTCACCAGGGTCAGGTTTCATCTGTGGACAAAGGGCACCAAGCTCCTCGGCAACGATGCCCCAGAACCGCTGCTGGGCACAGGGCTGTCCCCCACATTGGCCCATCCCTGCCCTTGGAGAGCTCAGGGTGGGACAGAGGCAGCACTGGAGAGTGCCCTATATGCAGTTGGATGGGGCTGGGCCCCGAGATGGGACAGGATGGCAGTGGCTTGGCTTTCAAGTGGCTGAGAGTGTGGCAGGCCTTAGCCCAGCGGAGGAGCCCTGGGCGAGGGTGTAGAAAGACCCCCGCCCTGCTTCCCTTGTTCCACTGCCCTGGGCCCCTAGGCAGGGAGAGGAAAAGGAGACCCTGTGGGGCCAGGTGCAGCTGCACCCTCCAACACCCCTGTGGCCCCATTCCCCCCACGAGCTCCCAAAAGTTCAGGCCTTCCCAGAGCTGAGCCATTCGTGGGGGCTGCAGAGCCCCAGTGGGCTTGGGGACACAGGGAGCCTCACCTTTCCTCGGGGCCATCCCGCGTGCAAAATAGGCAGCAGGTCTGCTGGGGGCTGGCTCTTCCTGCCCTCTGGATTTCCCCACCTCCAGGGCAGCCAGCACCCTCTCACAGGCCAACCCATCCCCACTACCCTGGGCTCCATTAACCCCCTCCTGTCTGGCGGCCAAGTGTCCTGGGTGTAGATGGCACAGGGGTGAGGCTGGGAGCTGCATCCACCCTGAATCCACCCTGAGGGTCCAAGGGGGGCCGAGGTGCAGCTCTGAGAGCAGGCAGGGCCCTGTCTTGTGGGCACCGCCCCCTTTCAGCCTAGGCCTGCAGAGTCGGGCCAGCAAGAGGGGAGGGGCATGGGGGTGTCCCTTGGAACAGCCTGTGAGGTGTTGGTGCTTGGCTAGGTTTGGGGAGTCCAGGAAAGGAAGCCCCTGTGCTTGGCTACCCTGCCCATGGATGGGTCTCCTTGGGCAGCTCCTGGGGTCCCTGCACTGAGCAGATGGCCGTTTGAGGGTTAAGCAGGAGTCGCCACATTTCCCAATGGACCTGCCCATCTGCCCTGGCATGCTGACCACCCCCTTCCCATTTCCTAACAACCTGGGTGGGGTCGTCCAGCCCAGCCTTGGCTTTTTCTGTGATCTCGGGGTCAGCTGGTGTCTGGCCACTGCCCCTCCCCTGCTCTCCTAAAAAAAACGCCTGGCAGAGCCCAGCCGCCTTGTGTTTACTTTCAGCAGGCAGGCGCCACTCTCCCTGGAAGGGAATGGGGGTGGCCTGGCCTTGGGACCAGCCTCCGCCTGCTGGGAGCCCCCGTGCTGTCCTGTAAGGCTGCTGTGGGGGCATGACCACCCCATTCTGTAGGTAGGCCGCTGGGATGTGTGCCCGGTGCCTGGCCTGAGCTCAGCCCGGGGTCAGAAGGTAGAAGGTGACCGCTGGCAAGGAAAGCTGTTGGAGCCTAGGGCACCCCACCACACCCTTGCCCGCCAGACACCACCCCCCCGCCCCACCCCCGTCTCTGTCCTTCCTGCTCAAACCAGGTACAATCTGGCCCTCAAGCCATCCCTTCCCTCCTCTTTGGGGGACCCTTCCTTTGGCTGTCAGCTGCACCTGCCCACCAGAGTCCCTCGCTCTGCCCCTGCTGGTGGGCCTGCGTTTGGAAGGGACTAGAGAAGGCACAGCTGGGTCCGGGGAGAGCAAGTTTTGCTGACATTTAGGGGACTCTCAAAGGGAACAGGTCTGCGTCCAACTGGATGGACAGTGGGGAGAGGAGGGGTGAGGAGGCGGGAGCTCTCTGAGCAGACCCCCATGGGGTCTGAAAGCTCTGCCTGGCCCCTGGGTTGGCTACTTACAGGGCCTGGGGGCCCGGCACCCTCACCCTGCCCCTCCCCAGCCTCACCAGTGGTAGGGTATGGGGAGGCAGCTTTATCTCCCTCCCTTTATTGAGCTTTGATATTTTTCCAGGTCGGTTCTCAGCTTCTGAGAAATTATAGATCTGCCAGGGAGAAAGTCCACACCCAGAAATTTACAGAGTAAATACACATTTACACAGTAGAAAGTGCGGATTCAGCAGGAGTTCCGGGGCCAGAGGGGCCCCTTCTGGAAAGTTCCCCTCATGGATGGCCCTCTGTGCTGGAGAAGGAGGCTAGAGCGGGGTGCGTGCAGGTCGGCCTGGAAAGGAGGGTTGGTGGTCCTGTCGCTGAGCATGTGAGGGTTGGGGCAGGAAATTCCTGTAACTCCTGGTTGAGCTTGTGTGTCTGGAAAACCCTTAGAGGATTTTGGCATCTGGGTGGGGCATTTTAAAATCTTTGAGTTATGTAGTAACATCAGTGCTTAACGTTCTAAAGAGAACAACTGTCACCTCTGCCTGGCCAGCTCTGGTCCCTGCCCGCCAGCCGCCCCCTCCCCCCGCCCCCGTAGTGGGCTGGCCGGTCACTGCCCAGCCTCTTTCTGGTTGACCAGCTGAGGGGCTCCCTGAGGATCGGTGTTTGTTTCTGATCTTCCTGTAAATGGTGGCACACAGAAGCGCTGGGTCTGGCTGCCTGTCAGACACCAGTGTGGGGTCTGCAAGATGAGCCAGATTGAGCTAGAAACAGCTGTCCCTGGGTTCTCATTCAGCTCACAGGACGCATTGACCCACCTGTCCAGGGACAGCAGGGCGTTTCCAACGGTGCTGCTGTGAGGCTCTCGGGCTGGTGTCTTCTGTTGGTGCTGAAGGGGTGTGTCATAGCAGGCGAGGGAACCCCTTCAGGGTTCCCTCCAGGATAGTTAGGGGGCCACGCCGGACAGCACATGTTCCTCTGTCTGCCCTTCTCCTGGCGGGGCGGGGACAGCGGGCTTCATTGCTCTGTGTCTTCTCCATCACCAGTTGGATGGCAGCTCCTCAGAGGCTCCCCGGCCGGTGCATTGTCCTGTCCTGTGAAGCACGTGTTTCAGTCTCTGGCCAGTTTTCTGTTTGGTTATCTGTCAAGTCTGATTTGTAAGGCATTTGTCAGGGGTATGAGGCCCGTCTTTTCTGCTCTGTAGTTTGCCTTGTTGTGCCTTTTATCATGGTTGGGACAAGAGTTCTCAATGTATCTTATCATGAAATATTCCTTCAATGTTACATATTGAACTTGATTTCTCAAATATGGCGTTGGCCAAAAAGTTGGTTTAGTTTTTTCTATCTGATGGCTATAGTAGCACTTAATTGTCTTCCAGTTCACTCAAAAAGTTTGTTAGATTGCATTGTGTCAGCATGCATTTTAAAAAGACTGATCAGAATTGAATTTTTGTGCAGCCATTTTAATATTAAAGATGGAAGAAAATATGCAATATTTTCCGTGTATTGTGCTTTGTTATTTCAAGAAAGGTAAAAACGCAACTGAAACACAAAAAGAGATTTGTATGTGCACTGTATGGAGAAGGTGCTGTGACTGACCAAATGCCTCGATAGTGGGTTGTGAAGTGTCTTGATACTATTGGTATTTTGGCCAAATAATTCTTTGCTGTGGGGCTGTCTTATACATTGGAAGGTGTGTAGCAGCACCCCTGGCCTCTCCCCACTAGAAGCCAATAGCAGGAGATAGCTGCCACACTCAAAATATCCAAATCAATAAAGTTATTGCTGAAAATGAAAAATGTATCTCTTATTTTATGGAAAAAAACTAAACAGACTTTTTGGCCAACCCAATACCAATAATAAAGATGGAAAAAAATCAGCCCTGGCTGGTGTGGCTCAGTGGTTTGAGCACTGGTTTGTGAAACTGAAACATCACTGGTTTGATTCCCAGTTGGGGCACATGCCTGGGCTGCAGACCAGGTCACCAGTGACAGAGGCACATGAGAGGCAACCACACATTGATGTTTCTCTCCCTCTTTTTCTTCCTTCCTCTCTGTAAAGAATAAATAAAATCTTGAAAGAAAGAAGAAAAGAAAAAGAAAGAAAGAAAGTGGGAAAGAGAGAAAGAGAGAGAGAGAGAGAGAGAGAAAGGAAAGAAAGAGAAAAAGAAAAAGATAGATCGACCTGCTGCTCCCCCATCCATGCATTTATTGGTTGATTCCTGTATGTGTACTGACCAGGGATTGAACCTTCAACCCTGATGATGCTCCAACTGAGTACTCAGCCAGGGCTCTTTTGCCCATTTTTAAATTGAATTGTCTTCTTATTGAGTTCTGAGACTTTATATATAATGGATACAATACTTTATATATACATATGTATTTTACTTTGGATTATCAGATATAACATTTGTGATATTTTCCCCAGTCTATGATTTGTCTCATTTTTTAAAAAATGCTATCTTTTGGGCCCTGGATGGCGTAGCTCAGTGGATTGAGCTCGGGCTGCGAACCAAAGTGTCTCAGGTTTGATTCCCAGTCAGGGTACATGCCTGGGTTGCAGGCCATAACCCCCAGCAACCACACATTGATCTTTCTTTCTCTCTCTCTCTCTGTCTTCCTCCCTTCCTTCTCTAAAAATAAAATGAATAAAATCTTTAAAAAAATGCTATCTTTTAAAAAAAGATATTATTTATCTACTTTTAAAGAGAGGGGAAGAGAGGGAGAGAAACATGTGCGAGAGATACATTGACCGGTTGCCTCTCACACGCCCCCAACTGGGGACCTGGCCTACAACCCAGGCAGGTGCCCTGACCTGGAATTGAACCAGCGAGCCTTTGGCTTTCAGGCCGGCACTCAGTCCACTGAGCCACACCAGCCAGGGCAAAATGCTGTCTTTTGAAGTGTACGTTTTTAACTTTAATGAGGTCCAATTTACCAATTTTTTTGTCCTTTATTGGCTCACACTTGTGGTATTGTGTCTTAAGAACAATACCTAACCCAAAATCACAAAAAAATGTTTCCTGTTTTTCTCTAAAAGCCTGATTACTTTTAGATTTTATATTTAGGTCTATCTATGATCCATTTCCAGTTATATGTATAGTGTGAGGTTAGGTTCTAGGTTCACTCACTGTTTTAAGTATAGATACCCAACTGTCCCAACACCATTTGTTGAAAAGACTATCATTTACCCTACTGAAATGTCTTTGTATCTTTGTTGAAATCAGTTGATCATAAATATAAGAGTTTATTGCTAGACTCTCAATTCCATTAAACTACATGCTTATTATCCTTGCACAAATATATTTTATTAGTGTTGCTTTATGGTAAGTTAAAAAAATTTTTTTACCCTCACTCAAGGACATTTTTCCATTGCTTTTAGAGAGAGAGGAAGGGAGAGAAACATCAATGTGAGAAACATCGATTGTTAGCTCCTGGTCAGCGTCCCAGCCGGGGATCCTGCAGTCTAGGCATGTGCCCTGACTGGGAACTGAACCCTCAACCTTTCGGTTAAAAAACTCCAACTGAGCCGTGCTGGCCAAGGCTATGATACGTCTTGAAATTAGGCAGTGAAAGTCCTCCTACTTTGCTCTTTTTCAAAATTGTTTTGGCTCTTTTAGGTCCTCTGTATTTCCATATAACTTTTAGGATCAGCTCGTTGCTTTCTCCCAAAATCCTGCTGGGATTTTGACAGGAATTGCATTGGATCTATACATCAATTTGGGGAGAAGTAACACTTTTTAAAACTACTTTTTGGATAATCTTCATTATATTTTTTCCATTGCCATTTAGTCCCCTTACATACCCTCCCCCCAGCAATCACCACACTGTTGTCCATGTCCATGAGTCCTTTTTCCTTTTTGCTCAATCCCTCCACCCTCTAACCTCCCACCCTCCACTAGCTGTCATCTGCTCTCCATCTGTGAGTCTGTTTTGCTTTTTAGTTCTGATTGTTCATTAGATTCCACATACGAGTGAGATCATACGGTGTTTGTCTTTCTCTGACTGACTTATTTCATTTAGCATAGTGTTCTCCTAGTCTGTCTATACTGTTGCAAAGGATAAAACTTTCATCTTTTTTATGGCTGAGTAGTATTACATTGTGTAAATATCCCATAGTTGTTTTATCCACTTATCTATTGATGGACACTTGGGCTGCTTCCATATCTTGGCGATTGTAAATAACGCTACAATGAATATAGTGGTGTTTTTACTTCTTTTAAAAAAAATTTTCAATAAAAATGTTATTTTCAGAGAATAGGAAGGGGAGGGGGAGAGGGAGAGAAACATTGATTGGTTGCCTCTCCTACGCACCTTGATGGGGGACTGAACCCTATGTGCCCTGAATGGGGATGGAACCTGTACCCCAATTGTGTGCTCTGACTGGGAATCAAACAGGTGACCT